TATCATTTTCGGATTCAGCGTACAGGATTTACTGTAGAACATGTAAAAATTTCAAGACAATAAAACCATCGAAGACCTGTGTAATTAAAGAAGAAAAGTGTTATACGGTTCAATAAAATGTACAATCAAGTTGTGGAACATGTTACTGTAGTCTTTGTATGTGACCATTTATTTTCATTTGGTCAACTGTGGTAATGTTCTCTAAAAAAAAAAGGGTTGTACGGAGAAACAAGATGAATGCTTTTTGATTTTTCTTTGGTTCTATTGTAGTTTTATTTACTCATAATTCATTCATCAAGCATGTGTTAGAAATGATTTTTTCTCTTCTACAGGAAAATTCACAAAATGCATTGCTGGTAAATTCAACTTTGGAAACATTGTTAAGGTTTTTAAATTGGATCCCTCTTGGTTATATCTTTGAAACGAAGTTGATCAGTACGCTAGTGTACAAAGTAAGTGGCAATATATTGCATTAGCATTTATATTAACTTAAGTTAATATGATAAAACCAAAGCTTAAGAGTAGAGTTTCTTTCTCTAAAAAATAAACTTCATTTCCTGTATGAAAGCTATTTTATTTTATTTGATTACCCAGTTTCTAAAAACTAAAACCATGTCATGTAAGCAATATTATATTTTGCCCTCATGCTCTTAAAATCTACTTGTTAAATTGCTTAACACTCATAATACGAGTAATTTAATAGGCACATGTTGGGTAATAAAACTTCCTTTTTATATATAAAATTGTTTAGTTGGTCATCAGTGTTTAAAATATAAAAAGAACAACTGCGTTACTTAGTAATATGAAATTTACCATGACAAGACATTTGTTTTTATTGTTTATTTTATGCATTGAAGTGACATAACACTGAAATGTAATTCTTCCAAAGTTAGTTTGATTAATTGTTTTTTTTGGAGATTTTTTGAATTCTTAATAAACACTCTTATACCAAGATTGCCTTACCTTAAATTGTTTAGTTGCTTAAACTTTTTAAGTAAAATTTGATTGCTGATATGGAAAATGCTATTGGTAATTTGTTTCAGATCTTCCTCTTTCTGCTTGAAGTTATCACTAAGTATTAACTTGTATGAAATTTGTTATGTTTTGCTGGAATATTAAAACATTATATAGTATAGCCCAAGTAATGCCAGTTTGCCAAATGATTAAAAAAATGTTTATCTTTTCCCCCCATTTTTGACTTGTATCTTTGTAATAGATTAAGAAGCTATTTCATTTCTTAAAAAAAATGCATGAGAGAACTAAAATGTAAAAAATTGCACAGATATAAAAAAAATAGAGTATCTAATTTATTTTTTCTTTTCAAGTTCAAAGCCCAGATACATGTGTGAATTCTCAGTTTAATACTGCTCATCTTAGTAAGATGAAACATTGGCTTTTCCTTAGAATCCTATTTGGATTCCTGCACTAGAGCACTTGCATAGCAAATTCAGCTGGCTATTAATCGTTTTATGTTTTTTGGTTCCTCCATGTGTATTAATAGGAATTGCATCTTCCTAAATGTGAGTGAAGCTGAAGCCATTGCATGTATCCTGTAATGGAGAGGTACGTGAAACTTCGCCTAATTGGGGTTTCTCTGGTGTTTGAACTTTGAAAAGGCATGTTCGAGTTGTCATGGAAATCCCCTTGGCCTGCATTGCTGGGTCATGCATTCTAATGACAGCTTTAACATGGGATGATAAAATTCATGTTTGATACGTGTGTGCAGCAAATATACAGCTTTCAAGTACCTCTGAGAAATACTTTGGCTTCCAAACTTTACAAGTTCTGCTTAGGATGGCTGAAGAATACAGTTTCCATGCTATATATGTGCATTTAAAATTTGCATTAATTAAAAATGTAAGCTTAATTTTAAAGAGGCTACTCTTTTTAAAAATATTGATAATTTTTATGGATCATGTATACTTATGAAACTACATGATTTCATATGATATTTTATTTCATTTCCATTTGTCAGTTTAGCAGTTTCAATCATAATTTCAAATTGATAGAAGAAAATTTAATAATGTAGGTAGTAAAAAATGATTAGTAAACATGGAAAAGGAAAAATAATAGTGAGGATACAAATATTATATTTTCTAAAGTTAATTTTGTATGTTATTCACAGAAGTTTTTTTACAAGTGTAATAAAGTTTAAAAGATGTGCATTGGAGATTACTTTCAGGCATCCTGATTAGTGCTGTTCACACGTATGCTGTAAATAAAATCTTTGCTATAGCTGATTTTAAAATTTTATCAGTTGTAGTCTTGTAGAATTATGTACTAAAGTATGTGAGTTTATTTGTAGAGAAGATATAATTAGATTTCCATTGAGATGCTGATTTTGAGTATTTGTTAATTGAGTGTTATCTCTGGCTAATGCCTTGTTTTTTAATTTGTTATGATTATGATGGGTTTTGATATAGAAGCTGTTAATATTTTTGTTGTTCAAATTACAACACAGAAAACTTATGTAGATGTTGTCAGGGTTATGTTATAAGCTTCATTGCTAGTGCTAAAGAACACGTAAAAATTCTATAAAAGCAAGAGAGATTTTATTTTTTTAATCTTTAAACTTTCAATGGAAATTTGTATGAGTTATCATATATCTAGCTTTGTATATTTTTTATTATGGAAATTAAAAGATTCTCTCTGATGTTTTATATTGCCTGTAAATTGTCTTAGAAGAAAGTTAAAGTCAAATTTTACACAATCCAATCACTTTCATGTGAATACTTAAAAGTAATTTTTATTTTGGTAATATCTTTTAAACTCTGTAAAGGTAAAAAATTTAAGAAATCAGAAAACTAATAATCCAGCCTATGTTCATTAAGCGTTAACTAGCAAGTGATATTTATACCATTCATATTAAATATTAAGATGTAGGTTTAATACCACCTATTAAAAATTACTAAATTGAAATATTTTTCAAATAACAGTATCAGTCATTAGTAGTAAAGGGTATTTTGAAGAATTTGTCAGGATACACAAAATCAGTATTTATGTAATCATAAATTATACCCCCCTGAATTATGTACAGTTTGGTAAAAACATCCATTATGTTGCTGTATAATCAGAAGACTACCTACTTTATAGTTTAAGCAAAAAAAACAGTAAATTAAGAAAAATGTTGCAGCATGGAATTCATGGAGCTCAAAGTTTAAACAGCATAATGCATTTTTAGAAAGTAGTTTGTTCTGTTGCAAAAATTTTTGTTAAAAATTTTTTTGGCAAATACTTTGTTGTTAATCTAAGATTATTTTCAGTGATTATTTATTCCCTTGCATTTAGATAAAAATATAAAAATGTTTGAACGTTAACTTGCAAGATTAATTTTGACACAAATTATGATAGTTCAAGAATAATATAGTTTAGTTATTTGTAGTTGGCAGAAATGAGTTATGCAAGATATTTAGAAAACAAATAAGAGTTTAAAGTTGTTGGTATTTATATATAAAACAATTATGAATAAA